GCAGCTCAGCTCAGGCTGGGACTCGAACCGCTGTTGCTCAGAACTCGCACTCTTGAGCGAGCTCTTAACCAACTGAGCTACTCGGCCGGCCCTACCTTTGTCACTTACTAGTGTGTGACCCCATGCAAGTTTCTAAGCTTCCCTTTATGCATCTGTCAAATAATAGTAATGACCTTCTTCAGTTTTTGTGAGGTTAAATGAGATATTTTAATAGTGTTTAACACATTGCCTAGCATATAGTAAATACTTAAGAACTTCCAGCTGCTGTTAACTACTCCCAGTAGTGGAATTACTAGATCAGAAATTTTTTCATAATTTTCAAGGATCTTTATGAATAGCATTGTAGTCTTTTAACTACATTGAAAAGTGAAGATGTAAATCTGGTCATCAACTTCTTAATAGAAGAGCGCCGAAGGCCTGGGATTCTCTGGTCATCAACTTCTTAATAGAAGAGCGCCGAAGGCCTGGGATTCTAGATGTAGTTTTAATTCAACATAGCTCCTTAAGTCTGATTTTTAGCAGAGCATTCCAGTGCCTGAAAGAATTCTGAGCTGGGCATTTGGCGATCAGAGAAGGAAGAGACTATCTTATCTATCTCACCAAACATGCTTACTCAACTGGTATTAGTGTGTGAGTCAACAACCTACTCAGCTTTGCGATCCAGAAATAAATGAGTTTGAGAAGCAGAATGCTCCTTGAGCTCCAGGAATAGATGACCTTCTGGTCAGAATAATTAGATAAGGAGCAGTATGGAGCCGCTCCTTCTGACATCTTCCAGACTGAACTCTTGATAGTTTGTCCTTAAACAGGAAGCTTTAGTGTTCCTTACTGTCAGACATCTTTCAGCTTATAATATTTGCTTTTTAAGCCTGGTCTTCCTTACTGGGGTGTGGTGGGGTAACTCACAGTCCCAAATATTTGCTGTTGAAATTGATTCGGGCTTGTTTCTGAGTTTTTTCAAACCAAATGCAGACTTATACCACCAGAACGAGGCCATTCTCCTTGAACTTGATGTGGGCAAAGTAGACAGAGACTTGCATCATCATCCATTCAGGGAAAGCCTTTCAGGTTCTCTTTATTGCATTGGACCAAGGGTCAGTGAACCTGCCTAATACTGCTTAATTGTATTTACACTTTGATCTGGAGGGCTCTTTCAGACATTATAGATGTGTGTTTTCTGATATCACTGGAAGCCCTTATATTTTTGGCACTGTATATCTTATGGCTCTGATCCAAATGTCTCAGACCTCCATCCAAAGACATCTGCTGTGTCCTGAATGACAGTCACTCTTGCTTTTTCATAGGGAAAGTTGTTTTAAAAATTAGTTCAGAAGTATAATAAAGACAAATCTAGAATATTACAAACTTCTTTTCAACACCAGCTTGTCAACCTAGAACCAGAAATGTGATTCCTTTCTATCACCTACTGCCTTTAACTTTAATTCATCTAGATGTTAGACCTTACGTAGGTTATTAAAGAAGTTTAAGACAAGATTTCTTCAGCTAAGGAGCTTGCCATCTCACTGGGAAGATAAGCATTAACCTAAGAAATTAATTACAAGGTGACACAAAGTAAATGATTGTGTACCCAAATGAATGTCCCTGACAGAAAGTGCAACAGAAAAGAGAAGAGCTGCAGTGAATAGAGATGGTGGTGTCCCAGGGAGAGTGGGCTTAGCCTGGGCTATAAAGGCTAGATAGGTTTGGGTAAACCCATAGGAAAGTAGGGGTTTCTTTATCTTCCTATGGGTTAGATAAGATAGGAAACAAGGGAAACAGCACTAAAGAACTTCCTCTTTGGGCCGGCCGAGTGGCGCAGTGGTTAAGAGCTGGCTTGGGATGCCAGAGGGCCCCGGTTCGGATCCCACATATGAGGGCCAGTGACACTGCCCCTTCCCCGATTCCCTAACGCTGTTCCCTCCCCCAATTCCCCAATAAAATCTTAAAAAAAAAAAAAAAGAACTTCCTCTTTATCTCCTTAGTAGTGTTAGCTTGCTAACCAATTACCGTCTCTGGTGACATTTGAAGCTCTATGAAAGAATTTGGAGGATGGAGGAGGGAGTCCTCACTGGAACTATCCCAAGTCTCTGCTTACTCCTCTGCTTTCCTGCGGACAGAATTTGGGGCTGCAGGTAGGATGGGGAAGTTGGAGGAATTACGCATTATGCAAATCACCTACTAGTGTGCCTGGCACAAGTTCTCAGTAAGTTTGCTGTCTCTTTGGTTTCTCTACCAGCCTGCCTGCCCCTGTTTTCCTTGCCAGAGACAGTAGTGATTGCTTTGGGTTCCTTTCAGCTTTATAACTGAAGACAGAGGTCAGGCCCTCAGCCTAATTTTGTAATCTTTGGTAAAAGGAAACCTCTACTACTATGGGGGGAAAGAGTTACTCTTGAAGATGCATAACCCAGGCTGGGAGACCATTCACCCAGTGCCTCA